CAGTGCACAGCTGTGTTTTTCAATTGACGTGCCCCCCTCGGGGCTCGCACCCTGCTTTCCTATCAGGGAAAATCTTCCTGGTCAATTTACAGGCTCGGAAACATTTCTCCTCACACCACACCAAGGCCCCGAGAACAACCGAAAGACAAAGGAAACCTTCCGCGCCCAACCCCGTCCGCCTCAGCGGACATGTGGTCCAAACGTCCCCTCCATAAAATTCTAAGCGGGCTCGCGCCAGGGGGGGGCCTGGGGTGATCCACTCCTCCTTTAATTCGAATTCTATTGAGGAGAGTGGGTGGAGCCTGGTTTGGGCGATTCTGTTTGGAACGTCCTCAAAATCTGTCTCGCTTGGGCCCTGGTTCGGCCTGGTTTGGCTTGGTTGGGCGGCGCAAGCCGCTTGAGACATCCTCCGAGTTTGCTTGGTTTGGCCCCTGGTTTGGGCCCGGTTTCGCCTGAGACGTTCTCACAATTTCCATGGTTTGACCTGACTTTGGTTTCGTCTGAGACGTCCTCGCAATTTGCCTGGTTTGGGCTTGGTTTCGCTTGAGACGTCCTCGCAATTTGCCTGGTTTCGCATTGGTTTCGCCTGGTTTGGGCACGGTTTCGCTTGAGACATCTTGGCAATTTGCTTGGTTCCAGCGCGGTTTCGCAGAAAATGCGGAAACCCACAGAACTTGTCGATTCCAATCGGAATTGGGGTGGATCACGCGGTCCCAGCAGAAGTAACCCAAATGGGCGGTTCCTTATCAAAAGTGTGTTTGTTTGGGGGGTGACAGCGCTGTCTCCCCCAGCACGTCCCCCCCCCCGACAAGGGGAAGCGCCGCCCTGGGGGCCTCTCCTCGTTTCAGGGAGAGCGGTTGCAGGGAAATGAAGGAATAATTCATTTACACACATGGTGGGCGTAAACATTCGGAACGGTATGGCCCCTGGGCGTTCCCAAGACACATTGGGTGTTGTCGATGTGGTTATGGCAGTGAACTGATGTTTCACACGTCGTGGGGGCAAACGCGCGAAACAGGACGGAGTGTATTGAACACATACTGGCCCATTTTCTGCACTGTTGTGTCATAGTATAACAGAGGCAGTGGGCGTGGACATCCGAAGCGCAGTGCGTTCGGCCACTGTGTCACGTAGTGCAACCATCGCTCACACAAATCTTCCTGTTATGCGGCATTGGATCATGTGGCGGCGTTTGGAGAAAACTTATCCCAGTCTCTAGTGTGCTGTGCCCTCGCTACAACAACAACGGCTTCCGCCTGATACTTCCGCGCATGGTTTTCCAAAATCGCGCTTTTGCGCGGGACTTCATCACAATTCAAGCAGGAATCGCGCTCTCGCGTGGGACCCCTTCAGAATTTATTCAGATGCGGCGCCCTCGACACTCAGGAATCACGCTCTCGCTTTGGCCTTTCTCGTGATTTACTTGGGAATCGCGCTATCTTTCGAGACACCCTCGCGATCGATGCAGGACTCACGCTTCAGCAGCCCGCGTGCTCGACCTGGCCGTCTGGCCCCGCCTTCCCGACTCGCTCGCTAGGGTCTGCCCGCCCGATCTGCCCGTCTGGTACTGCCACGTGTTTTCTGCTCATGGCCCCCCTCCTGTCAATTTCTCTCGTGTTCCATCCTTCTCCCACTCCCTGCCATCCGTCCTTCATTCCCCTGTTTTAGAAACTGCGCTAAATGCGCGTGGCAGGTAAGGAAGATATACCCCCAATGGGGTGCGATCGAAGACGAGGAGAGCGAGTACCGAGGGTTTGGGATATGCGTGTTGAATGGCACGCGGGCAGATAGGAGCGAATACTCTTAAAATGGTTGTTGTTCTTGTCGCTGCGTTGTCTCATGCTTGTTGTCGTCGTCGGGCCCGCGACCCACCCTGCGATCCACCTGCGACCCACCTGCGAACCACCCGCGACCCGCCCGCGACCCACCCTGCGACCCACCCCGCGACCCACCCCGCGACCCATCCGCGACCCACCCGCGACCCACCCACATTGCTTTAACGAGCAAATTTGCGCTTGCGGCGGGTTCGTTGTATAAGCTGTAAAAACTAGGTGCCTACAGCGGGCTTCTTCAGAGCCTCGCAGATTGCCGACGTCCCCGCGCCCCCTCACTCTTATCCACACCTGCGGGGTGCTACGTATTATTCATAAGAAGCCATATGACATATTTCAGCACAGTTCAACAAGACTGTGCTTGGTTTTCTCTGGGCGCTTTCTGCCCCCCCGTCTTGGTCCGTGCCATGGTTCTGCGACTTCCTCTCTCCTCCTCCGCCCTCTTTTTGTCCCGTCTTTCCTTCTCCTCCCTCCTCTCCCTCCCCTGGTGCGCCGGGCGCGTGCGTAATTCTCGGCTGGCGCGCGCAGCCTTCTGAAGCTCCCGAGATTACAAGCCGGCTGGGGCCCCGGACTATAGCCGGGCGGTTCCATTGTGGAAATCGGCTCTATGAGGCGATGCGAAAAAACGCCTATTATTTACAATGTTTGGTTCGTCTCCCGCCCCTCCACGGAGGCCCCGCCTGAGCGGGCAGGGTATCCGCAAACCATGATATGTGTGGGGTTTCGCGCCCGTCCCACCCGTCGGGGGGCCACGCCAGATCGGACGAGGTATTCGCATACCATGCTATTATCAAGGTGTCCCGTCTGCTCGTCCATGACTAGACCTGGATGCCATCAGCCTTTCTTCTATGTTCGTCTTGTTGTGCTCCTTTGATCCCGCCGAGTCCTTAACACCCTTCTGTGGGAAACTGCGATCGCATACGTAATCTATCATGGCGGGTGCGCGGCGTGGCGAGGCGCGAGGCGGAGGTCATTGGATCACAGGGTTGTCTCGTCTCGTCTTGTCTTCCTCATTCCCCGTGAAGACTGGAGAGCCAGGAGGGTGGCAGCGTGGAAGACGTTCAAGTGCCTTACGCCATTCCGCCGACCCCCAGGAAGAGTGAGAGCTTGCGGCGATCGTGGAAGTTATCCGTAAGGGCTTCGCCCCCTGCCGCCGGCCCCCTCTCTCGGAGAATGAGCCATGGAAGAGCTAAGTCATGAGGCTTTGGCGCTGTCGTGCAGCAGTATCGGAACTTCATGCGAGGCCGATTCGCAATCGGCAAAACCAACTGATCACAAGAGGGGTTACCACACAGGGCGATTGGTAAGACGTGTATGGTTTACGAGCTTGGTTACCACACCTTGGGATTAAAGGGCCGAGGGAGTACTCGCAGTTTGGGTTACCACGCCTTGCGATGGATGTGCGTGAGGGGTGGCACCGAATTTCAGAAATGTGGCAAATCCCATGTGTTTTTGGACCCTGACCCCGCGGATCTGCGTGAGGGGTGGCACCGAATTTCAGAAATGTGGCAAATCCCCTGTGTTTTTGGACCCTGACCCCGCGGATCTGCGTGAGGGGTGGCACCGAATTTCAGAAATGTGGCAAATCCCTGTGTTTTTGGACCCTGACCCCGCGGATCTGCGTGAGGGGTGGCACCGAATTTCAGAAATGTGGCAAATCCCATGTGTTTTTGGACCCTGACCCCGCGGATCTGCGTGAGGGGTGGCACCGAATTTCAGAAATGTGGCAAATCCCCTGTGTTTTTGGACCCTGACCCCGCGGATCTGCGTGAGGGGTGGCACCGAATTTCAGAAATGTGGCAAATCCCCTGTGTTTTTGGACCCTGACCCCGCGGATCTGCGTGAGGGGTGGCACCGAATTTCAGAAATGTGGCAAATCCCCTGTGTTTTTGGACCCTGACCCCGCGGATCTGCGTGAGGGGTGGCACCGAATTTCAGAAATGTGGCAAATCCCATGTGTTTTTGGACCCTGACCCCGCGGATCTGCGTGAGGGGTGGCACCGAATTTCAGAAATGTGGCAAATCCCATGTGTTTTTGGACCCTGACCCCGCGGATCTGCGTGAGGGGTGGCACCGAATTTCAGAAATGTGGCAAATCCCTGTGTTTTTGGACCCTGACCCCGCGGATCTGCGTGAGGGGTGGCACCGAATTTCAGAAATGTGGCAAATCCCTGTGTTTTTGGACCCTGACCCCGCGGATCTGCGTGAGGGGTGTCGATTTCGAGCCCCCCCAGCAATTCAGACAACGCGCCCAGGTGAGGCTAAAAGTCTTGTTTGGGCCTCCCCCCCCCTCGCGCGGTCAATCAACTAGTTACAGTAACCAGCAAGAAGTCAACTAGTTACAGTAACCAGCAAGAAGCAGAACTGTAACACTGGAAACTACAACCTACGACTGGTACAGGAAACTGCGAATCACGCGCCTCGCAGCCTGGTGGCCCCACAAGGGGGCCGGCGGATTTTGTGGGTCTGGCGCCTCTTGGATGAACATGAGGATGCTCGAGGGAGGGGCTGCTGGGATGTTTCTCGGGTGCGTCTTGGAGGGATCGTTGTGGCATTTTGGTTTGGGGGGGCGACTTCTTGGGAGGCTCTTGGGGGCGTATTGGAGACCTCCAGGGTCCTCTTGGAGGCCTGTGGGGGCCTCTTGGGGCCATCTTGGGGGGAACGGCTCGAAATGTTCGTTCGTATTCGACCTCTTGGACCACTCTTGGGACCCTCTTGGGCCTCTCTAGACCACTCTCGTGACCCTCTTGGGCTGTGTCTGCTGCTCTCGTAGGCGCTTCATGGCCCGTCTTGGAACGATCTTGGGGGTCGGCCGTTTTGGACGCGGCCAGACAAAAAAATGCCAGTGTGCCAAACATTCGCTTTCTGGAATGGGACGATTTCGCTTACTGGGGCCGTCTCGGCGGTCCTCCGGAAGCACTCTTGGGTTGTCTTGGAGGCCTTACGGGACCTCTCGAAGCAATATTGGATCGTCGTGGGGCTACCCTGGACAGTCTCGACGGTCTCTTGGACCGTCTTGGCGCTTTGTTTGTGCTCTCTTGTTGAGCCGTCTTGGGGCGCCTTGGCGAGCTCGTACCCCCCCCCTGGGCCCCCCACCCCTCTAGTCAGATTTTGGACCCGGGTGGAGGGCGAAAGGGGGAGGGGGACAGCCAAATGTCCCACACGCCTATTCATCCCTGGCAAGCGGGGGTCGGCGGATTATGGCCCCAATCCTGCACTTGGCAACATTGCGATGCGAGCTGCAATCAGCCACAGTTGATTCGGCAGCGGAGTCAAGCGCCAAGAGGGGCTGAAGATTGCAGCCAGTGGCTACCGGTCCAGCAGCAGCAGCAAGCGTGGCCTGACAACAGATGTTGCAGCTGCCGGCTGTACGGTGGCGCATGAGCAGTCGCATTATCGGCCCTTGACTGGCGCGGGGCGCAAATGCACCGATCTCCCGTCTCCTCCTTCTCCTCCTCCTCCTCCTCGTCGTCCTCCTCCTCCTCCTCCTCCCACCTCCTCCCTCGTAGCCACGTTGGCCCAAGCTCCCGGCCCAACCGCCGACCAGCCCCTCGCAGCATGGTCGTTGCAGGTGGTAATCACACCGTGCTCCTGAGGAGCGACGGCGCAGCCGCGGCCTGCGGCTGCAAAGACGAGGGACAGTGCGACATCCCGCCGCCGGGCGGAGGCTTGTCTTATGTGCAGGTCGCTGCGGGTGGTGCTCACACCGTGCTGCTGAATAGCGACGGGTCAGCGGCGGCCTGCGGTCGGAATTGCAATGGGCAGTGCGACGTCCCAGCTCTGGGCGCTGGCCTAACTTACGCGAAGGTTGCTGCGGGTGGTAATCACACAGTGCTGCTGAGGAGTGACGGGGCAGCCGTGGCCTGCGGCAGGAATCACAATGGGCAGTGCGACATCCCAGCGCTGGGTGGAGGTCTGAGGTACACGCACGTCACTGCAGGTGGTGCTCACACCGTGCTGCTGAAGAGCGATGGAACAATAGCGGCCTGCGGCCGGAACTACCACGGGCAGTGCGACTTCCCAGCGCTGGGCGGAGGCCTGACTTACACTCAGGTTGCTGCAGGTGACTATCACACCGTGCTGCTGAGGAGCGACGGGACAGCCGTGGTCTGCGGCCGCAAAGGCGACGGCTGCGACATCCCAGCGCTGGGTGAGGGCCTTTCTTACACTCGGGTCTCGGCGGGTGGTGCTCACACCGTGCTGCTGAAGAGCGACGGGACAGCAGCAACTTGTGGCCAGAATGACGCTGGCCAGTGCGACGTCCCAGCGCTGGGCGGAGGCTTGATTTTCACGCAGGTCGCTGCAGGTGGTGCTCACACCGTGCTGCTGAGGAGCGACGGGACAGCCGTGGCCTGCGGCTGGAATGTTCACAAGCAGTGTGACTTCCCCTCGCTTCCAAGCCGATGGACAGACTGGTTGCCCTGGCGGCCCACACGCCTCCGATACGAGGCGTGCTCCTGGCCGCCACCAGAGCCGCCGATGCTGGTCCTGCAGGCGCTCTTCGACGGGGCTTCGGTGCGGTTCGTGACCCTTGGCGGGGAGGAGATAGACCGGATCCAGGCGGCGCCCGCCGACCTCCTGGCAGACGTGCGCGCGCGACTCATGCCGAAGGAAGACAGAGTTGGCACGTAAACGCAAACGTTCGAAGGTCCGCACGGATTTCTGGAGTCGGCGCTGGGCCCCCCTCCCTGGCGCGCGGAGCGCGTCTGGGGCGGTGCCTCCGGCGCCACCAGTCGATGATCCTCAGGACGTGAGGTAGCCTACTGCATGTTTACCCCGTTGAGCTCCACCGAGAGCACGCAGCCCATGTCGGCCCTCGTGACGCCGCCTGCGTCGTGTTGAAGGGCCTCCGTGGACAAGCACACGCTGGCACCAGCACCACGCTCGGAGGATCATCGAGCCAGAGGGGCCCGGCCGATCGCGCGGACCTCTGGAAGTTCATGCTCGTGCCGTTTCTGTCTCTTTCGATCCGTGGCCGGCCGCCTGTCGCGGGTGCTGTGCTCCACGTTCTCTACGGCCGACGCCGTGTTGCCGGGGGGTGGGCTTCTGAGCCAGGCGCCCGCTGCGGAGACCTGCGCGGGCGCGTTCGCCGATCGGTGAGCAGCCGTCGGAGATGGGAGAGAGGATCGGATGAGGAGGAGGAGAAGGGGCAGGAGGACCAGTGTAAACCCAAGTTCCTTCTTCATACGTTCCTACAAGAGTGGACTGTCGTTGCAGGAAGCGCCCAATTGAAAGACAGCCGTTTGAGAATTCTCAACCGTGTCTCAAATCATTCCTGGGACTTCAAAACGCCGCGAATCAATGTGATTGTTGCGTCCTGACAATCCTGAACCATGCCAAAATTCAATTCCTGGGATTTCAACACCGTGAATCTACGTGACTGTTGCGTCCTTGCAATCCTCAGTCGCGCCAGAACACCATTCCTGGGACTTCAACCCTACAAGTCTTCAAAACTGCTGCAAACGTTTGAGACGAATGCGCGCGGCGCAAAGGCGAGAGCTGAATTTCGACAAGGATCCGCCCTCCATCCTTGGAAGTGCTGCCGCACTTTAAAGACGAATGTGCGCGGTGCTGTGGCGAGAGCCACAGTTTGAAAACGGCCCGCCCTCCATACAGTGGAGACCCATACCAAGAAACACCCTGCTTGCCTTCAGGGTGCCCTTGGTTTCTTGGGTTTCGATGGATTTGCCACGGAAAGCGTGGCGCTCCCACACCAGAAATCCATAGACGCCCTGGGGCCTCGGGGTTGGGTCTCTTGTGGAAGGCTTCCTGTGGACCGGCCTCCGCCGGCACGAGACCTGAAAAACGGATGCCAACGCTTCCCGGGACAGCGCGTGGCACTCTCGGGGGGCCCTCGCTTTGCCTTCCCAGGAAACTGGGCCCCTGCGCGCGGCCCCAGCGGCCCCGGCGGTTCCCGGCCGTCGCCGCACCCTGTGGAGGAGGAGGACAGGCTGAGGAGGAGGGAGGAGGAGGGAGGGAGGGAGGAGGAGGAGGAGGAGGAGGAGGAAAACAGTATCAGGATTTGGAGGAGGTGGAGGAGGAGAAGGAGGAGGAGGAGGAGGAGAAGGAGTTTCCTCATGAAGTGCCCGCCTGTGTGCCCCGCGGCCCCGTTCCAGTCGGGGCGCCGCCGCCACGTTGGCACCCCCTCCCGTTCGCCTCGGAATTTCGCGTTGCGCTGCAATCGCATGGCATCGCAACTCGATCGCACGGCATTGCTTTGCACTGCGCTGCAGTCGCACTGCGCTGCATTTTGCAATCGCACTGCACTGCGCTGCATGGCTGTCGCCTTGCATTGCTTCGCATTGCTCTGCACTGCTCTGCATTGCTTTGCATCGCATTGCATCGCTTTGAAGTGCTTTGCAGTGCTCTGCATTGCTCTGCATTGCTCTGCATTGCTCTGCATTGCTCTGCATTGCTCTGCATTGCTTCGCATTGCTTTGCTTTGCTTTGGTATTGCTTTGCATTGCTTTGCATTGCTTTGCATTGCTCTGCATCGCTGTGCATTCTTCTAGTGGCCTGCGCCAGTCCGCCGACCCCCCAGAGAAGAAACGACGTCCACAGGCGAGGCCTTCTGCCTCTCGTGAACCGTCCGCTGGGGCATCGCTGGGGCCTCTTGGGTGCCTCTTGGAGCCTCTCGGGGGTCTGCTGGGCGCCATGCTGGCGGTCTCGGGGGTCCTCTTGGGGCGGAGGGCTGGACGTGGAAGTTCGAGTCCCCTTCTTGGGCTCCTCTTGAGGCTCTCTTGCGGCCCTCTTGAGCCGCCTGGGGCGCCTCTGGGGCAGTTCTGGAGCTTTCTTGGGCCGTCTTGAGGCCATCGTAGGGCCGTCCTGGAGCGATCCTGGAGGCGTGGATATGCCCAAAATGTATGTTTTCATTCGGCATTGCGGTACGTCGACAAAATGTTGCACCACTTGGTGCCCGCGACATCAGACGTCGCGGTGCAATCGACGTTTCGTGCTCGCTCCCCCCCCCCCCTCTCCCCAATCTGCTATTGGCTACGGGCCTTGATCGCCGAAACAGCTCGGTGGTGCTACATTCTGTCGGGCGCTTGGGAAATCTGGAGGAGCTCATTCTCGCATGCCCCCAATATTAGATTGGAGTGAGAGGGGGGGAGAAGGGTTGAAGCATGCGTGCGAAGAACAGCGCAGAGTGGTGCAACATGTTCTCAACGTGCGGTTGGGGCAGTCGTGGGGGCGGGGCTCTTGGGGAGGGTTCTGCGTTGTCTTGCACTACTTCGCATTGCTTTGGTTTGCATTGCTTTGCATTGATTTGCACTGCTTTGCGCTACATAAGTTGTGCCACCCGGATTGGACTTCATTACCTACTTTGGGTCCCCACTGGCTAACGTGTAAGACGAATGTGCGCGGCTCTACGGCGATAACTAGTCGCATTTTGAAAACGATCCGCCCTTCATCTTTGAATTTGCTGCCGATGTTCATGACGAGTGCGCGCGGCTTCAAAGCGAAAGCCATATGTTGAAAACCACCCGCCCTCCATCATTGAACCCCTTGCAGATTTCAAGCTGCAGGAGCATAAACGGTTAGAAGTCTCGGGCGAAACGCCCAGCCCGACATGCCGACAAGCCTGGGGGTGCGACAGGGAGGATTATTCATATGGAAAAGGGATGGAAGAGGAGGAGGAGGAGGAGGAGGAGGAGGAGGAGGAGGGAGGAGGAGGAGGAGGAGGAGGAGGAGGAGGAGGAGGAGGAGGAGCGGAGGAGGAGGGCCAGTCGAGACAACGGCGGCCCTCCCAGGCGTGTTTCGTTTTCTGCGGCGCTCCTGGAGGCACCTCGAACCGAGAGGGGAGGGACGAGTTGGCGTCGGACCTGGAGGAGGAGGAGGAGGAAGACGAAGAGGAGCAGGAGGAGGAAGACGAGGAGGAGGAGGAGGAGGAAGAGGAGGAGGAGGGAGACGAAGCTGCGGAGGACCAGGAGGATGAGGAGAAAAGGAATGAGTCGGCGGAGGAGCAGAGAGGCGAGGAGGAAGTCGGGCACATCGGGTTTCAAGGGCCGGGGGGCCGCACGGCCAGGGGGTCTTGTGGGCCGAGGGCGCCGGGCGGGCATGGCCGAGCAGGTCCGCGGTTGTGGCCTCGTCCTCCTACATTATGTTGTTCATGACTCCTCCCTCGTCCCTCTCCTCCTCCTCCTCCTCCTCCTCCTCCTCCTCCTCCTCCTTAGCTATCCTCTTCTTCTTCTTCTTCTTATCAGTCTTCTTCCTTTTCAATCTCTTGTCCTTATAGGTGGCTCCTGTCTGTCCCGCCCCCAGGCGTGTCGGTACGGCGGCCAAGCGTTTCGCTTGAGGCCTCCTCACCACTCTTGATCCTGAAGTTGACACTTGCAGCAGTCACGTGCATGGATGGAGGGGAGGTCTTTTTCGAAATTGGGCTATCGCCGTAAGGCCGCGCACACTCTGTTTCTATATTTGCAACAGCTACGTACAGGGATTGAGGGGGGTCGTTTACACAATGCAGCGCTTGTCTTAGCGCCACGCGCATTCGTCTTGAACACTTGCAGCAGCTGGAAGGATAGAGGGGAGGTCGTTTGCAACATGTGGCTCTCGCCTTAGCGTCGCGCGCATCCATCTTTAAAGCTTACACCAGCTACATGGATGGAGGGGGCGTGTTCAGACTGCGGCTCTCCCCGGGGCGCCGCGCACACCCTTGGTTTAAAATCTACTAGGAGTTGCACGCGTGTGAAGAGCGATCCAGTTCGAAATGGGACTGTCGCCTGAGCGCCGCGCACACTATTCAAACCCTCATGTGGTAAGCACAAACTTGGGCAGCGACTCCTTTTCAAAATGCGGCTCGCCTAAGCGCCGCGTGCATCATTCGTTTTTGTTAACGTTTACGGGGCTCGACGTGTACGGGGCTCGACGTTCAAATCTGGACGCCCTCGATCCTCTGGGCGGGCTGGGGGCGTGGGGCTTTCGCCAGGCCACTGGGCCGCCTCCTCGTCCTCCTCCTCGCATCTCACCGAAGGCTGAAGGCTGAGCACGAGTCCTCGCCCTCTCGGCTCCGCGATCTCGCAGCCCGCCTGCAGCTTATTTGCGATTGCCGGTCATCGGCGCGAGCGGCGAAGGTGTCACCTGTCGCTCCCAGCTAACGGCGCTCCTCCTCCTCCTCCTCCTCCTCCTCCTCCTCCTCCTCCTCCTCCTCCTCCTCCTCCTCCTCCCTGCTCTTCACTCCTCTTGGCCTGCAGCAAACGGGCCCCGAGGGCAACGGGGATTCTGGACCCGGGGGCCTTCCCCCCAGGACCAACTCGTCACCCTGAGCCGCTGCCTGACAGCCCCAGGGCCCGTGGAGATCCCCGAGGGGTCAATAACGGAGAAAAGCTCAAGTCGGCATGTCTCTCTACAGGAGGAATACTCAAAAATTCGCCGGCCCAACGGGCCAGAGGCGTGCCAACATCTCTGGTAACCACTTAACAATATTTCTAGTTCGCGCGCTCGGGCTGACCCCCGGCCGGGTCCCGGCCGGGTCCCGGGCGATCCCCAGGGGGGAGGCTGTTTTTCGCCACCCCTCACGAGGATTGTGGCCTCCGAGGGGGTGGCTGCAATCGACTACCCCCCCTCCCGCCCCAAGGGCCCCCAAAGAGCCCCCAAAGAGGCCCCAGGGGAGCCCAAGACGCCGCCAAGGAGCCCCAAGACGCTCCCAAGAAGCCCCCAAGAGGCCCCCAAGACGGCCCCAAGAGGCCCCAAATAGCGCTCCAGGGCCGGCGGAATGAGCGAAGCGATTAAGTAAGCTAGTCCAGGGACGATTCTTCCTTATCATTTTTGAATATTCTTATGTAGGAGGACATGCCCGACCTGAATAAAAACCTTCCCGCTCTCCCCCCGTCTCCTCCCGCCGGCCCCGCCCGCGGCCCGCGCCGGCCTCATTTGCGACCCCCGTGGGCCCCCCGAAGGTGCAGGACGGCTTCGCGGCCACCGTGCAGCTGCCGTGCCGGCACTCGGCAGCGGCGGAGGGGGAGTGGGTATAGGGAGCCAGGAGGGGGGCTGGAGTCCCTCCCTCCCTCCCTCCCCTCCGGCTCCACTCCTTTCCCCCGGAAAAATTCCTACCGGTCGCACCCCGAGGCCAGTTGGAAGGCGGGCCCGGCGTTTCGCTTGAGACTTCCTTGCCATTTACAAGCCGTAAGCTTTAAAATTATCCCGGCAAAGCAACCTAACAGCGATGTGTAGAAGCATATATGGAAACATTCCCCTTAAGATCCAGATGAGAATCCAGTTGTAGAATTCTCCTGTTCTCGCAGTCGCAGTCGCATTCGCGATGACAGTCGCAGTGGCAACGGCAGTCACAGTCACAGCCTCAGCCTCAGCCTGCCTCAGTATCAGCCTGCCTCAGCCTCAGCCTCAGCCTGCCTCAGCCTCAGCCTCAGCCTCAGCCTCAGCCTGCCTGCTTCAGCCTCAGCCTCAGCCTCAGCCTGCCTTCAGCCTCGGCCTCAGCCTCAGCCTGCCTCAGCCTCAGCCTGCATCAGCCTCAGCCTCAGCCTCAGCCTCAGCCTCAGCCTGCCTCCGCATCAGCCTGCCTCAGCCTCAGCCTCAGCCTGCCTCAGCCTCAGCCTCACCCTGCCTCAGCCTCAGCCTCAACCTTTTCCTCAGCATCAGCCTGCCTCAGCCTCAGCATCACCCTGTCTCGGCCTCAGCCTCAGCCTGCTTCAGCCTCAGCCTCAGTCTGCCTTCAGCCTCGGCCTCAGCCTCAGCCAGCCTCAGCCTCAGCCTGCATCAGCCTCAGCCTCAGCCTCAGCCTGCCTCAGCCTCAGCCTGCCTCAGCGTCTGCCTCAGCCTCAGCCTCAGCCTCAGCCACAGCCACAGCCTCAGCCTCAGCCTGCCTCAGCCTCAGCCTGCATCAGCCTCAGCCTCAGCCTGCCTCAGCTTCAGCCTCAGCCACAGCCTGCCTCAGCCTCAGCCTCACCCTGCCTCAGCGTCTGCCTCAGCCTGCCTCATCCTCAGCCTCAGCCTCAGCCTCAGCCTCAGCGTCAGCCTGCCTCAGCCTGCCTCAGCCTCAGCCTGCCTCAGCCTCAGCCTGCCTCAGCCTCAGCCTCAGTCTGCCTCAGTATCAGCTTGCCTAAGCCTCAGCCTCAGCCTGCCTCAGCCTCAGCCTCAGCCTGCTTCAGCTTCAGCCTCAACCTTAGCCTCAGCCTCAACCTTTTCCTCAGCCTCAGCCTCAGCCTGCATCAGCCTCAGCCTCAGCCTCAGCCTGCCTCAGCATCAGCTTGCCTCAGCGTGTGCCTCAGCCTGCTTCAGCCTCAGCCTCAGCCTCAACCTCAGCCTCAGCCTCAGCCTGCCTCAGCCTCAGCCTGCCTCAGCCTCAGCCTCAGCCTGCCTCAGCAGCAGCCTGCCTCAGCCTCAGTTGGCTCCGGGCATTCAAAATGTGGCCCGGGAATGGAGTTCTGGGAACTCGAAGAGCACGAAGTGGCCTACAGTTGGCTCCGGGCATTCAAAATGTGGCCCGGGAATGGAGTTCTGGGAACTCGAAGAGCACGAAGTGGCCTACAGTTGGCTCCGGGCATTCAAAATGTGGCCCGGGAATGGAGTTCTGGGAACTCGAAGAGCACGAAGTGGCCTACAGTTGGCTCCGGGCATTCAAAATGTGGCCCGGGAATGGAGGGGAATCGAAGTGGAGGCCCGGGAATGGAGTTCTGGGAAGTCGAAGAGCACGAAGTGTGTGACTGTTGCATCCGGTTATTCAGAATGTGGCCTGGGAATGGGGTTCTGAGAGGTCGACGAGCACGAAGTGTGTGACTGTTGGTGAAAAACGAGCCCGGCACAGGCCCGGCCGGCAACTCCCAACGCCTGCCCGGACCCCCTTGTGGAGTGATCTGTGAGCTCTTTTGAGTCAACTAGAAACCTATCAGTCTTCGCTGTTAGGTAAAAAACGACAACAGCTTCACAGATGGAGGGCAGGTGGTTTTCAAAATGTGGCTTTCGCCTTAGTTTCAAAACATTGCAGGAGTTTCACGGATTCGGGGTGGGTGGTCTTCAAAATGTGGCTCTCGCCTCCGCGCCGCGCATTTTCGTTTCAAACATTTGCAAGAGCCTCACGGATTGAGGAGAGGTAGTTTTCAAAACGTGTCTCTCGCTTAGGCGCCGCGTACATTCGCTGAACAAATGTGCAAGAGCTTCGCGGATTGAGGGCGGGTGGTTTTCGGAATGTGGTTCCTCCTCATTATCATCAGCATCATCATGATCAGCATCTTCCACATCCTCCTCATCATCATAACCATCATCATCCTCTTCATTGCCATCGTCGTCATCATCATCGTCGTCATCACCATCACCACCATCATCGTCGTCGGCGTCGCCGCCGTCATCGTCATCGTCATCAACATCACCACCACGATCGTCACCACCGCAATAATCACCACGACCATCATTATCATCATCACATTATCGTCATCAACATCATCATCCTCATCGTCATTGTCATTGTCATCGGCATCATTATCATCATCATCATCATCATCATCATCATCAGCGTCGTCTGCATCATCCTCGTCATCATCAGCATCAACATCCCAACCATAATCACCATCACCAACATCATCACCATCATGACCACCATTGTCACCGTCTTCATGACCATCATAATCATCATAACCACCATCATCACCATAACCATCAACATTACCATCATCAGCATCATCATCATCAACCACATGACCACCATCATCACCACCACCATCATCACCACCACCGCCACCATCATCATCATCATCATCATCATCATCATCATCATCATCATCATCATCATCATCATCATCATCAACATCAACATCAACATCAACATCAACATCAACATCAACATCAACATCAACATCAACATCAACATCACCACCATCATCAACATCATCATCATCAATTTTATCATGCACTCTTCCCTCCCTCACCCCCTCCCTCACTCCCTCCTCCTCCTCCTCCTCCTCATCCTCCTCCTCCTCTTCCTTCCTTCCCCCCCTCCTCCTTACGTCGGCGTTGGACGGATCGTCGGTCGCTGGATCTCCAACCCGCGGGGGGGGGGGAGCCCAGTTCCGCCCCCCCAGACGCGACTGGGCCCCCTGGAAGTCCTTCTCCCGGCGGCGGGCCCAGGGGAGAAGCGAGAGGGGGCAGGCCTTCGCAGAAGGCGGCGGGGCTCTCGAGGTTCGGTCGTTTTGGCCCCCCTTTTTAATTTTTGCTTTCCTTTCTGCTTTCCTCTGTGGCGGGGAGCATTTCCATCCGGCAACACTTTGTCTTACAGCTCCTGGGCATCTTGTTTTTGCTGTCGCTGGGGCCTTTGAGAGCCTGGACAGTGGCCCGCAAACCAGTAACTCCAGCAACTCCCCTCCTCCTCCTCCTCCTCCTCCTCCTCCTCCTCCTCCTCCTCCTCCTCCTCCTCCTCCTCCTCCTCCTCCTCCTCCTCCTCCTCCTCCTCCTCCTCACAGGGGGGGCCGTCCGCGTCCTCGGCAGAGGCCCAAAAAGCTTCCCAGAAGGCTGGGAGGCCTGCTGAGGCGTCTGAGGATCCCCGCTCCCTCTGCCTTCCCCCCTGGGCTCACCGCCAGGCGAGGCGTTCCAGAAAGGGCCTTGCCTTCGAGGATCGAAGGAGTTGTCATCTTTTCCTCGGCGGAAGGGCGGTGGAAGTAAAACGAGGCCGCCTCCGCCGGCGGAAGACGGCGGAAGTAAAAGCTGTGCCCCCAGGAGATGAAAACGTTTTTGGGTTCGGGGTTTCCGGGATCGCCCAGTTCTTCTCAGTCAGCGGCACCGTAACGGGTATTCACTAACGGGTACTTTGGAAAGTTGCCGAAAGTTGCCAGTTTAGGGTCTCTTTCTGGCACTGCAGCGTTGCCCACGTCGGGGAGGGTGGGGTTCGCGGGGTCACTGGCCAAAGAAAAATACCCCGTTCTATCACTTCGAGGGTCCGTTCTACCACTTACCTTGGAACCCTTCTACCACTTACAAGTGGTCCACTACCACACGCACCCGTTCTACCACCTAGCCTGGGGGCCCGTTCTACCACCTAGCCTGGGGACCCGTTCTACCACCTAGCCTGGGGGCCCGTTCTACCACCTAGCCTGGGGGGCCGTTCTACCACCTAGCCTGGGGACCCGTTCTACCACTTAGCCAGGGGCCCCGTTCTACCACTTAGCCAGGAGCCCCGTTCTACCACTTAGCCAGGGGCCCCGTTCTACCACTTAGCCAGGGGCCCCGTTCTACCACTTAGCCAGGGGCCCCGTTCTACCACTTAGCCAGGGGCCCCGTTCTACCACTTAGCCAGGGGCCCCGTTCTACCACTTAGCCAGGGGCCCCGTTCTACCACTTAGCCAGGGGCCCCGTTCTACCACTTAGCCAGGGGCCCCGTTCTACCACTTAGCCAGGGGCCCCGTTCTACCACTTAGCCAGGGGCCCCGTTCTACCACTTAGCCAGGGGCCCCGTTCTACCACGTAGCCAGGGGCCCGCCTGGGGGCCCGCCAGCCAAGGGGCCCGTTCTACCACTTAGCCTGGGCACCCGTTCTACCACTTAGCCTGGGCACCCGTTCTACCACTTAGCCAGGGGCCCGCCTGGGGGCCCGCTCTACCACGTAGCCGGGGGGCCCGTTGTACCATGAGCCTGTGACTGGCATGGGGAAAAACCGAAAAAAAGATCGCAAAACCAGAAGCGCGCACGGAGAAAGTGCCCCCTGGTGCACTGGCCACAGCACGGAGGAGCACAGGACAATCGCTGTACACAATAACCTGTGCAAAATAGAAGGGTTGAGCCAATTGCTGGCATAGCAAATTCACCGCGGCAAAAGACTACAACACCGCAGGCGCTTGCTACCGTGGTAGCAGCTCGCGAGAGGGCGCTGTTTGGCGTCTGCCGCTCCCTCGCAGCATCCAGGCAGGAACTCCCCCACCCTTCGGGCGGCGCCGCAGATCGCCTGCCAGCCTGGCGCGCGCACGTGGCGCTCCCACAGGAGTGGCCAGACCAGATCGAGCGCGGGGCGGATCTGCGGG